TTGGAATTGAAAAATATGAAATAAGATAAATGGGCGAAAATAGATACCAAGTAAAAATGGTTTGCCAACTACAATTATGAGCAAAAAAGGGGCGATAACCAAGTGTATTTTCGGGTATGGCTGGATGACAAAACCTTCGATTACTTTTGGCACCGTTTTGGCGCCTCGGAATACATTCCGGAGATATATTATTATAATGTGCCGCAGCTGAGGCGTCCTCGATATGCTTCAGTCCAGACACCTTCGCTCTGTGTTACTGCTACCCTACTCGCACAAATTTCGAGGTCACAAGCGTGTCAAAATTCAGCGGAAAATTTCCACCAAAAGAACGCTCTACCTGTCTCGGTTCCCCCCGTCTATGCTCTCCCTCGCGTCGTTGCACGGCGTCTATATCTTTTTGCTATAAGAGAAGACGCTTGGCGAAATAAAGCCTCGGAAAGAGAGAGAATTTCTGAAGGTGAAATACAAGGAAAACAAAGAGAGGGCGTCCATCCTAACTTGTGTCATTGTCTTTTAATGAATGTTACGAAAGCCATAAGTGGATAAACCGGTGAGATGTGAGTGTGTGTTTTGTTGTTTATAAACGAAAACGCGTTTCATACATGTGTTATGTACTATGGAAAGACTTTCGGCAACGTGTATAGACTACATTGCTGAATGTCTGTCAGGATCGTGTATTTAAGCAAATATGTTTGGTTTGCAAACTGCAATGTTTATTCATTTACAGTTGTTTTTTTGTTTTTTTACTCAATAAGTCAATCCTTTCTCCGTTAGATCTAGTGAGATCACGCTATTTTTGTCTTTGATCAACGTTTCCTTGGACTGAACAGATATCTGAAGTATAACGGTTAGGTGCTTCGCTGTCGGACGCCGAAGACGTGTGTTTGATTTCTGTGTGCGGATGGCTTAATTTTTGTTTTTGTTTTTAATACAGCAAGAATCTCTTGAGCTGCTCTCCTTTAAGCATTAGTGTTAGCCTTAACAAGCAGTGTCGGAGCAACCTGAATCCCGAAAGACCCGAAAGACCCGAAAAACTGTGTCAATGGGGGTGAAAAACATCTGCCATGACATTTATTTTCATTTATGTCACATGACACCATCACATGACACCACGGTGATATCGGGCTTTCGTCCAATATTTGGGCATGTGGAGTTATTGATATAATCTTTAAGCTTGTTTATTTGCCTCGAGTTTGAAGAGGAACATCAGCTTGTCGGGAATAAAAGTCAAGATATTTGCAATTGAAGGAGGGGTGGGGGGGTGGGAGGGGTGGAGGCAAAGTGTGGTGACCTACAAAGTTTGAGATGTCCTTGGAAACTGAGAATGTTCACTTTTTGTGCCGGTAGTTCTGTCAGCGTTTTTCAGTACAATACAAGCAAAATGAGTTTTTAAGTTGACATAATAGGTAATGAACTTAAAACAGAAAGGAAATAATCGGTAACAATTGCCATCCTGGTGAAAAAATGTCGGCTTCATCGATTGTATTATTTTGACAGTCGTCTGATTTCTCCACAATGCTACTTATTTTTATTTATTCTGAAAATCAGGATCACGTAAATCCTTGAAATGTTTGTATATTTGTATCGATTTCGAGGACACACATAAGATGTAATCTGACGATGGTTCATTCTTTGAACCTTGAATTTGATTTATTTTGTCGTAAGGAAAACGCACGGGGGACTCCCGACCATGAACGTTCATAAGTGACCTTAAAGTTGAACTTGACAGACGTAATCCCTAATTAACTACATTGCATGTGGTCTATGTAATCATGTTTTGTATTTATTTTTATGCGTTGTCTACGTGTTTTTGTTTTTGTTTTTTGTTTTTCTTTTAACTCTCTATTTCTTGGTCTACTTATTGGCCATTTTTCCTAAGCAGACAGCGGTTTATGCGGAGTCTTATACGGGGTGCCCACTACGGATGGGTTCGTCCGATCGGGCCGATCGCCCGACTCGATCGCCTCAAAAACAAACGTGTTTGTTTTCAGTTTCATGCGATCGAGTCGGGCGATTGGCCCGATCCAGCCATAGTGGGCACCCCGTATTAAGACAGAATGGTTTCATGCTTGACATGAGCACATGCAAAGGGTCAACTTTGTAGCAAGACCTTAATTTTTGGTGTTTGATGACAATGAATAATATAATTATTATGTTTGCTGGTGTCCAGTTTGATCTGGCCTAATTTATGCAAAACTGGCACGCCTTTCTTATTAAATCATTACCTATTTTGGATGTGAAAACGTATTGCAAGGGAAACCATTTTTTAAAAAAGTGAGCCAGATAACTGAGTGAACGCCAATCAAAGACCGGATAACTATTAATTTGTTCCATACGGTACACGAATAATATACTGATGGGTTAAATGACAGATTTGTCACATCAGAGTCGAAGACGAGTGTATACATTTGCAAGAAGTTATAAGGTCTAAAATATCATTTTTTATTTTCATTGTAGAGTTCAAGGATAAAATAAATTGTCTTGGTGACCAAGTCTTGAACATGCCATTAACACGTCATTCAATTTTTTTTCCGCATGGTGGCATGGCGGCGGGCTAGACGAACTGCCCTGGAAATTCACATCTGGCCTTCAGGCAGTACTTTAGTCACCCCTAACCTAATGGATATTATACTCTCAGTATGTAAGCGGGAACGAGCTTGGAAGGATGGCTCAGGACAGAGATAAATGGAAGGAGCTTGTATGTGGCCTATACCCTGCCAGGGGTGAAAGGCATTGATGATGATGATGTAAGCGGGAGATCAAGCCTGCATTGTTATAAAATGGGTTTCAACATGGTAAAACGTAAAGGGTGTGGGGGTTAGGGCAAACGTATTAAAGGACATAGTATAATATCAAACTTTTGCTTTGCTTTCACGGTTATGCAGTATTCTGCTTTTGATTGTTTGAGGTGAACTCAAAATAGACATTTGTTTTGCGAGATTTTGTCAAGGATGACTAATCAGTTTTTCCTCTCTTTTCCTCCACTCTTTTCCCTCCTTTATTTCTATTTCCACGTCTACCTGTTGTGCCGGAGCTGCCACGCGTGTGCTACGAGGTAGCTGTTCGAAACTCGGTTGCCTTCAAGTATTTTTCCACTGCTTGGTGCCGAACTCAGACGCTTAACCATTCGTTGAAAGTTTGCTCCAAATTCCAAGGTCAGGACGGCCCCGCAAAATCGGTCGGAATAGGAAATGCTGAGTGTTCATCATCGACTGCTTCCTTCGTGCGTCTTGTAAATTAGAGACGCACCAAGGCTGGCGGTGTCTGTGACATCATTGGTATGTTTTTTTAACGTGCGAGAAAAAACAGAAATGAGCGAATCTAATTCTTGCATAAAGAATAATTCAATCCATACAGCATGTATGAGTGTGGGTTAAAAAAAAAATTATCTTTGAAGATGCATCCACATAGCTCAGATTAACATGGACGGGAAACGCCGAAGAAGCCTGCCTTCTTGATTACGCGGGTGGCATTGTTGGGAAAACAGACGCTTGTCAAAATAACAAAATCTGAGAAACCGGCAATACTTCAACTGTTGGGCAAGTTTTATTGAATCTTTTTTTTTTCAACGGTGGAGGATGTCATCGCCCTAAGATTAATCTGAAACCATATTATTTATATGTGGATTTTACATTGAAACGTTGATGAAAGGCACACAAAATACTTTGCAAATTTGCATTTTCAAGGACACTCCAGCTGTGAAAGTATTCAGATTTTGAAAGCTGTTTTCTCTCTAATTATATTCCTGCAGCCAGGGGACCTGCCTACTCAATCGGAAATAATTCGAGTTTCATTCAAGACAGATAAATTTTCTCCCCATCAAAAGCAAGATGAATAAACGAGCTTTACGAGGATACCAATGCAGCTATATTGTTATCCCCAACCAGTGACATGAGGTTGATTTCCCCTCGTTGTGACTCCAATATTCAATAGTGTCCGTGGGGACACAACTGCTCATCAACAACAAGCTGCAATTAAAAACTGCACGAACAAACAAACCATAGCTTCAAAGAATGTTCTTTTGTCTTCTCAGAAGGCCTTCGGATACCTGAAATTTCTTACACTATTAATAAACCTTCTGTTTTTGTTTTTCAAAATCGAATACAGTGGAACCTGCTCAACGGCTACTTGTATAAGACGGTCATGTCTAGGTGCAAACGCTCACTTCCCACTACCCCCCCCCCTTGTGTATTTTTACATTACAATTCCCCTGTGGACGGCGGCCCCCGGTCTAAAATTCAGCTTTTCTCATCTGCAATGGAGAATCGTTTTATACAATGTTGTCTGTATCCCTCTTTCAGTTCAGATACTGTATCCCTCTTTCTCTGACGTGGCTCCGTCGGGAAGAGATGAAAAAGCTTACCTGTAAGGTAGTCGAGATTGTTTCGATAGGGGTGTATACACTTTTTAAAAACTAAGAAAACAAAACAAAACACGATTATCTAGGAGACTGCACGTACGGGTCTGCTTGTAAGTGCTGAGCCGGACAGGGTGGGAAACACCATTGTAAACAATATGGAGAAGTAATTCCGTTATTGGACGAGGAAGAGTTAATGAAAGTTATGTTTTGTCACAGACAACTTAGTGATTCTTTTATCCGTTTCAGACCAAGAACTCCTAACTACGACGTTGGCAAAACGACAGAACATCAACGGCGATACCTGGGAAAGTGATAACATCCGTTAAAAACGAACGTTTTGGAATAACCTTTCACTTTCTTTAGAATAGCTCTTATCTATCTGTCTACCCATCTCTCTACCTCTCTCTCTCTATCTATCTATCTATCTATCTATCTATCTATCTATCTATCTATCTATCTATCTATTGGTGTCCACCAACAAGGCTGCTGTGTAAGGCCCTTGTAGTGAACTGAGATCACACATTGAGGAAAGAACTGAAAAGAGAGAATACAGGTTTTACTTGTGACCCTTGACCTGTCAACTGAGTCAAAAGATATCGTCAATAGATTTTAGCAGCGTGACGTCGACAGAGCTACCAAGATGGTGGAATCGTTTGGCGGCACGAACCTACACGTGGGGGACATCGTGGTCATAGCTGCCTACTTTATCTTCGTTCTTGTCGTGGGATTGTGGGTGAGTGTGTTTTCAAAAGCAGTTAAAGGTAGGGAAATGGTTTACCTGGAATACCTGGAAGTGTAATCTCTGACTCAGAGGCTGACCTGTAATTACTCTGCATTTTTCACGGTGGCGAGCTGCCGTTGCACGTTCTGCTATTATACCCAGGCTAGTCCACTTTTTAAATGTTACTCTTTGTAAGCCCCTTACTTTTCTGCCCCACATCCTTCCTTCAAGCCCCTCTTTCACAATGGCCTTGTGTCCTTCTAAGGACCAAAGTAGGGAAATAGTATAGGTTTTATAAAGGAATGCAGTTACAGTTCAAGGGGAGGAGGAGTGGCGTCGGTGACCTAGAGATTAGGCCACCGGACCCGTAATCGTGAGGAATGCGTGTTCGGAGATTCGAGCGTCAGCTCAGTTCGACGTTGTGACCTTGGGAAATACAATTTACACGAATTTCCCATTTCTTGGCTCAGTCCTGTCGGAGAATGCGGTTAAATTCGGAGGTCCCGCCTCTTAAATAACCTAATATTGTGGATAGGGGTATTTAAACCCATACCATTTCACCATTTTCAAGGGGAGAGGGCGTGGGTGATGAAAAGTGATTCAGGATGAAGATAACACAGTCGAGGTTGAGTATAAGCAGAAGAGTTAACATATCTATTAAAAAAAGGGCAGACGAATAAGAGGAAGAAAAAACTACTTTAAATCATCGCGTGTAGGAAACAACTTTTTACATAAAAACTACCGCAGGGCCTCTGTTATCACTATTGCGTTATTTAAGAGGCGAGACTTCCGAGTTTTATGCCCATCTCCGAAAAGAACGAGCCAAATAAGACATCTGTGTAAAGTGCATTTCCCAAGGACACAAAGCGTGATCGAGCTGAGGCTCGTAACTCACAAACCCGCAATTCCATGTCTACCGGTCCAGTAGCATAACCACAAGGCTAACGACTCCACCCAATGGAAGTTGGCCAAGATTAACTTACTAAGAGAACTAAAACAGACTGGAGAGAGGAAAAGACCAAGATTCAACATTATTCATTTAACACATTCGAGAAGAGAAATGGGAACCGAAATATGACTAACGATGCCAGTTCCATAATAATAATT